CCAGTCCAAATGCTAATTCTAACGACATACACGCTAATCAGGCGTCGCGGCTTTGATTTACAATGTGCTGATTGATTTTATTGCCGGTGAGGGAATTAAACGAGTGGGGGAGGGGTGAGGGTCGTGATTAATTCAGCAGTTTCTAAAATAGTTGTGATGTGTTTGTTGGTAGGTTGGTTGTGATGTACAGTTTATGTGGTTGTGATGTAGTTTATGTGTTTAAGCTGTAGCTAATAGTTGTGCTGTCGTTAATGTGTTTAAGGTGTTTTTGAAATGGTTGTGCTATAATAAAGGTGGTTGTTGCTGTAGTAAGTGTGGTTGTTGCTGTAATAAGTGTGGTTGTTGTTGTAGTAAGTGTGGTTGTTGCTGTGGTTGTTGCTGTAGTAAGTGTGGTTGTTGCTATAATAAGTGGTTGTTGCTGTAATAAGTGTGGTTGTTGCTGTGGTTGTTGCTGTAGTAAGTGTGGTTGTTGCTGTAGTTAGTGTGGTTGTTGCTGTAGTTAGTGTGGTTGTTGCTGTAGTTAGTGCGGTTGTTGCTATAATAAGTATGGTTGTGCTGTAGTAAATGTAGTTTTGCTATAATCTATTAGACTACACGCTACAAAATCATCAAACCATCAAACTCTGTGGAATCAGACCATCAAAACAAATGAAATCAACTTAGCTAAACCTACATACAGGATAGTGGTAGTTTGTTGAAATGATCTATCGTCAGTTTATCGAAGTGTTTTGTATTTGATGACATTTGGGCCAAGAATGTATGCACAGGTCAAGCAAACACAAACAAAATCAAGCCGGGATGGACAAGATATGACACTTAGAGTCACAAATACATGGTCGACCTCCGCGTGATTTCAATGTCTCCCTCCACACATTGGTCATGGAGGTCCGTGCTAGTCAAAGGTTATTGATCGGGTCATTTATTCTTTGATGTGTCAATCAAATAAGAAAGGGACCCGCCCCCTTCCAGCGACACTTTCCTACCCTCATCTGACACTTTTTCATACTCAGTGACGCATCCCCCACCTTAGCCAACTCCTACATTCTCCTTCTAGCGACATTTTACCCCACCCCTCCGACAATTCCCCACCTCAATTAAACTCCAACCCTAGCCGAAACTACACCACCCCAGCTGACACTACCCTACCCTCATTCTACACATCCCCTCCCCCAGCCTACACACCCCACCCCTATTTGAGAAATCTCCCAACCCTATAACATAGATACCCACCCACTTCGCCCTACCCCACCCACCCCTCCAGCTAAGTCTCATCTATCCCCCAGCGCTAACCCACACCCTCAGACAATACCCACCTCAAGGTCAACACCCCACAACCTCCCTCTCAAGGTCAACACCCCACAACCTCCCTCTCAAGGTCAACACCCAACATCCTCCCTCTCAAGGTCAACACCCAACATCCTCCCTCTCTCAACACCCCACAACCTCCCTCTCAAGGTCAACACCCCACAACCTCCCTCTCAAGGTCAACACCCAACATCCTCCCTCTCAAGGTCAACACCTAACCTCCTCCCTCTCTCAACACCCCACAACCTCCCTCTCAATGTCAACACAACCTCCCTCTCAAGGTCAACACCCAACATCCTCCCTCTCTCAACACCCCACAACCTCCCTCTCAATGTCAACACAACCTCCCTCTCAAGGTCAACACCCAACATCCTCCCTCTCAAGGTCAACACCTAACCTCCTCCCTCTCTCAACACCCCACAACCTCCCTCTCAATGTCAACACAACCTCCCTCTCAAGGTCAACACCCAACATCCTCCCTCTCAAGGTCAACACCCAACATCCTCCCTCTCTCAACACCCCACAACCTCCCTCTCAAGATCAACACCCCACAACCTCCCTCTCAAGGTCAACACCCAACATCCTCCCTCTCTCAACACCCCACAACCTCCCTCTCAATGTCAACACAACCTCCCTCTAAAGGTCAACACCCCACAACCTCCCTCTCAAGGTCAACACCCCACAACCTCCCTCTCAAGGTCAACACCCCACAACCTCCCTCTCAAGGTCAGCATCCCACAACCTCCCTCTCAAGGTCAACACCCCACAACCTCCCTCTCAAGGTCAACACCCCACAACCTCCTTCTCAATGTCAACATCTACTACCTCCGTCTCAAGGGTAACACCCCGTCGTACCGATGCTCACGACAGGGGCCATGAAACAATGTCAAGGTGGAACCAATGTATTCAGTACTCACCCAGTAAACACAATAGACTAAAATAAACATCTACTTAATTGTTTTAAAAAGCTAGTCTTTACAATGTCTTTACACTTAATTTTTAGGTTAGTTACGAAGTTATTCAAAGGTAAACACTGTGTACTTTCCGACCAAGTTATAAAACAGATCCGTGTATTGAACTTCACTGTACGCTAAAATCATCGATATAATTGATTCCATCAGCAAAACATTTAGATTTTTTATATAGATTGAAGTGTAGAAGTATTAACCTAAAGCCTAGCCATAAAGCTAGCTATAAAACTAGCCACAAGCCCAGCCATTCGCTTAGTCATAAACTTTATATGTAAGCCTAAACTTGTATGTGATTAAAAACAAAACATCAACAAACATTCACAGTAAGCCATTTGTGTAATCAGATATAAGTTGCCCGGAATGTAAAAATATATGTGAACTTCGATTTACGAACATTTTTTTCACGGACAATGTTCCTTGTTCTATGAGTTTCCAGTTTCGGACAAAATTTCACATTCATTTCTCATTGTTTTCTTATTGTTTTCTCATTGTTTTCTCATCGTTTTCTCATTGTTTTCTTATTGTTTTCTCATCGTTTTCTCATTGTTTTCTCATTGTTTTCTCATTGTTTTCTCATTGTTTTCTCATCGTTTTCTCATTGTTTTCTCATTGTTTTCTCATTGTTTTCTTATTGTTTTCTCATCGTTTTCTCATTGTTTTCTCATTGTTTTCTCATTGTTTTCTCATTGTTTTCTCATTGTTTTCTCATTGTTTTCTCATTGTTTTCTCATTGTTTTCTCATTGTTTTCTCATTGTTTTCTCATTGTTTTCTTATTGTTTTCTCATTGTTTTCTCATTGTTTTCTCATTGTTTTCTCATTGTTTTCTCATTGTTTTCTTATTGTTTTCTCATTGTAATAGTTTAATCCGTTCACAAATGTATTCTTTGCCTTTACTTATGTCTGCCTATTTCATACGGTGTCAGTTTTAAGTATGTTATAGCTTACTAATGCAACATCCTACGAACCACTTTAACAGTGTTTAATTGTACTGTACATACAACATCAGCCACTCAACCAATATTTGACATTGTCCATACAACATCCAACAAATCACTCAACAATAGGCTTGAAAATCGATGTAATCATAGTAATGTTTTTTTTTTAATCGTTAAAAATTATGGCAAGCGATAAAATTATAATTACATTTTTTTTAAAATAAAGCCGTTTGGGATCCATCGATCACACTCATATTTAGATTTTAATATCGAATATATAAGTCGCTGAAAATAATTATAGAATTATTTGATCAATTCAAATGTTTTTAAAAACTGTCCTCAATCCTTCCTTGAAGTCAACCATAGTAGCCAAGGTAAGTAAAATAATAAATGTTAGAACCATTGTTCTCCATGATAAAATACACAATAGTGGTCAATGGTGTATATCGAAGTAGTTCATTTATATTTAATATAACGTCCCCTATTACCACAACAAACTGACTCTACTAATCCAAGTTAAAAATAAGTGTTTGCTCAATTGCTAGCAATTCTTTGCTTGAATATTTCTAGCTATAATAAAACCGGAAGTCATTTTATTCTTATTTCTCGAATGTTATAAAATATTCAATTTTGGTTGAGAATTATGCTTTCTGGCAACAACCATTTTGTAACCAGCGTTTCAAGCCTATTGTTAGACAACATAGCGGCGAGTCGGGGTCCGACTAAGACACGACTTTCCTACACCTCGAGGTAATGGATCGAACCACCCACTTCATCATAATCTCAACTCACGGCCCCTCGTTCTAAGGATCGAATTCTTTCCTTTGATCCATATTGATTGACTTTTTCCACCTTTCGCCCCAACCTTTGTCGTGTCTCCCCCCCCCCCCCCCCCCCCACTCATGTGACAGGCCCACGGAGAATGGGACGCTACAACAACAGGGAGACTATCGAAAAGACATTAGCCGGGATGGACCAACCCCACTTATCTCCCCTGGGGTCGGGACACGCCATGTCATCCCGCTGTATGACGTAATAATAACAGCCGGGATATGGTACTAATTAGCGTCATTTGTTAAGACAAACTTTTGATAAGGTTCCTCTGTTTTTATTTTATGTCTAAGAAATAAAAAAAAATTAAGGGTCGATATTAATGATGTCCTTCTTCAACCCTAGAAATACAGTTCATTGGATCTACACACTAGATCACTATTTTTATTTGAACATAGGTCCTTGTCCGTCTTGCTTTTGAATTAAGACCAACATTGTACTGATTCTAACATACAACCATGCCTGTTCTCAGTGGCGTAGCGAGGTCGGGTGTCACCCGGTGCGGCACTTAATGGTGTCACCCCCCAGAGGCGTAGCGACCCTTCCCGGGGACAAACTTTCAAACTTTTGATTTGCACCCCCTCAAACTTTTGATTTGCACCCCCCACCAAACTTTTGATTTCCACCCCCCTAAAAACTTTCGATTTGCACCCCCCCCCTCAACTTTTTCTCTATATATTTTGCTATTTTTGCCTTGGTGTCACCCCCCTAAATGGTGTCACCCGGTGCGGTCCGCACCCCCGCCCCCCCTCCTAGCTACGCCTCTGCCTGTTCTGATTCTAACATATCACTATGCCTGTTCCCATTCTAACATACCACTATAGGGCCGGTAAGTAGGTCACCAACCAGTTCTATGGCTCATGCAGGTTTTATTGAGCCGTAGAACTGGTTGGTGACCTACTTACCAGCCCTATACCAGATTTTTTTTCTAACATTCTACCTTCCCCGTCCCCCCAGGAGCTGGAGTTCTGGGGCCTGACCGAGCTGGACATTGAGCCCTGCTGCTGGGGCCACTACAACCGGTTCAAGGAGAACAAGGAGACGCTGGCCGCCATCGACGACAGCTTCACCTTCCAGCTGGACCCTGACGCCTTTGGGGAGAAGCTGACACCCTACATGATGTGGAAGAAGAAGGTCTGGGTCTTCTTGGAGGACCCGTCATCGAGCAGGGGGTCACAGGTAGATGTTCTAATTTAGTGGTCATCTTGTCGGGGTCAAAGGTTAAGATGGTCTAATTTAGTGGTCATTTAGCCGGGGTCAATGGTTAAGATGGTCTAATTTAGTGGTCATCTAGCCGGGGGCCACAGGTAGATGGTCTAATTTAGTGGTCATTTAGCCGGGGTCACAGGTTAAGATGGTCGAATTTAGTGGCCATCTAGCAGTGGGGTCAAAAGTTAAGATGGTCTAATTTAGTGGTCATCTAGCCGGGTGTCAAAGGTTAAGATGGTCTAATTTAGTGGTCATCTAGCTGGGGGTCAAAGGTTAATATGGTTTAATTTAGTGGTCATCTAGCAGGGGGTCAAAGGTTAATATGTTCTAATTTAGTGGTCATCTAGCCGGGGGTCAAAGGTAAAGATGGTCTAATTTAGTGGTCATCTAGCCGGTGGTCAAAGGTAAAGATGGTCTAATTTAGTGGTCATCTAGCCGGGGTCAAAGATGGTCTAATTTAGTGGTCATCTAGCTTGAGGTCAAATGTTAAGATGGTCTAATTTAGTGGTCATCTAGCTTGGGGTCAAATGTTAAGATGGTCTAATTTAGTGGTCATCTAGCCGGGGGTCAAAGGTGAAGATAGTCTAATTTAGTGGTCATCTAGCAGTTAGCAGACAATCATAAAGATGCTCATCGGTGAGTCGGGATCTATATCTTGATTTTATTAAGTTCATGTTTGAAAACAATGATTCGAATAAATATGTCGAACCGAAAAATGATTCAAATGGCACTAGCCGTTCCAGGCTAGCGTAAATAGTGCAGTCTGGCTCGCCGCTAGTCGGCGCTAGACAAGTTGGGACAAGTATCGAACATATTTAATAAACCTAGGAAGTAAAAAAAAACTGTAACAAATGAATAAAAATAAATCATATTTTAAAATAAAGTTTATGAAAAAAAATTCTGCCTCTGTCGAATAGTGAGAGGCGGGCACATACGAATCGTTCAGCGGGCGCCATGGCGCCCGCGGGCACAGGGTTGGGAACCCCTGCCCTCGAGCAAACTTAAGTAAAATTTCCAACTGCATAAATAGATGTCAGTAAAATTCGCATTTAGTCAGTCAATGTTTTAGCGCAGGTAGGCCTACTTACTTGAGTGATTGTCGCTGTTCCTAAAAAAAGAAAAACTCCTGCGCACAATTTAATTAACACCGCAGTTCAACAGCGAGTTGTATTAGTTTAACCTCAGTAAATAATTGTCCGACTAAATAAATGATTAGCTAAGTGGTGTTTTGTTAGGAATGTGATCCCTCTAATAGCAGGTGAGTGTTTGTTGGTACATTAAAAAAAACACAATCTGTAAAATCAATGGCACACACGCCGAGCACACAGACCTGGAAACTTTATAGCGGGTATCACGTGAACAATCATACAGGTCTCAATTAGCCCAAAATAAACACTCGGGAAAAAACAGAGGCCAAAATTTATTCTAAGTCAAAATAAATAGTCACCATTTTTTTGGGCATAAATCCCTGTCATATTACTGCATCAACATTCGCTAAATTATACTAGTGTTCGATTTTCTTTATTTATTTGCAATCGTTTTAATTGCCTTTTTAAATCTAGTATTAAATTAATTTCTAATGATATAATTTTGATACACGGTATTTAAAAAAAAAAATTAACTAATATCCTTATTCGGTTTGGTATTGGTGTTAGTCTAGCGTATATAATTTCATTTTAAATTAATTAAATTCAATTAGCTTAAATTGCGTTAATTAGATTAATTAATTAAGACACTTGGTCAACTAGAAGTCTTAGACTTAATGTCTTCTTGTGTGTAGACAAGTTTCTAGACACTGTCTTTGTCTTTGTCTATGACAAGACAACGACGGGTCTTAAATCAGTTTGGATTCAATTAAATTGTTTAGACTTGTTAAGCATCACAAGAATAATAGAGAGATAAAATATTGTATTGATTCAATTTGCCATCCATTCAAAGTTTACATAGTTTTATTACAAGCTTTTATTTAACTCACTTCCTCTGTCGTCAGTCTGTCTAGACGGAAACGCAGGAGTGAAAATTCGGACAGTTCTACTTGACCGATACGATTCAAAGTTAGCACGTGGGTCAAGACATGAAGACAATGCAATCTGAAACTAAATTTGACTTAATTGGATGCCTAATTAATTTTTTATGAATTAATTAAAATTTGGACCGAATTAGTAGGCATGTCTAGCCAACCACACCACACGCGTCATCACCTTCAATAGCTGCGCCATCACGTAATGGCTGCGTTCAAAAACCATTGCGCGCCTACTGAACGTGATGTTCAGTAGGCGCGCAATGGTTTTTAGTCATGTAACTCTATTGTAAATAAAACATGTAAAGTACTGAAAAAAAAATTCATAAAAACCTTTTAATAACAAGCTTTTATGTAATGATGCACTAAAAAGTAGAAAATAAATTATAGACTACTATTTAAATAACTATAAAGAAAAGCGTGGGTGTCTTCCTTAACATTAGTAAAGGTATCCAATAGATACTAAAGTGACCCACGCTTTTCTTTATAGTTATTTAAATAGTAGTCTATAATTTATTTTCTACTTTTTAGTGCGTCATTACATAAAAGCTTGTTATTAAAACGTTTTTTATGAATTTTTTTTATGTCATATATTTAGCTATTTCCATGTACTGAATCGACGAAAGTTTCAACGTTTGTCCAATAACTGTTCTATTTACAGATCTACGCCATAACGTCCATGTTCTTTGTGCTGCTGTCTATCGCCGTGTTTGTTCTGGAGACCCACTACCTGTTCAGGACGCCTCTAGACGGCGTCAACGTCACATCATCAGACGCCAGCAGCACTTGTGGGAACACCTACTCCGCCCTCGGTACCTGCTGTTGTACACTCGGCCTCAACGATGAGCTCAAGTACTCAGAGTCTGAACCTCACGACGCCATGACCTACTTGGACTACATCGCGGCGGGATTTTTCACCATCGAGTACGTGGGCAGACTTTTTTTCGCGCCTAAGAAACTGGAATTCCTGCGCCAGCCTCTGAACCTCATCGACATCCTTTGTCTCCTTCCGCATTTCGCGTCCATCATCATCAAGTCCGTAGACCCCACGGAGAAAAGCTCCAACGTTATAAAAGTCGTGTTGGCCTTGAGAATTATTCGCGTTTTGCGAATCTTCAAGCTGATGAAGCACTACACCGCTTTCAAGATCTTAGTCTACACCATCAAGGTCAGCGCCAAAGAGCTTCTCCTAATGGTTATTTTCCTCTTCACAGGAGTTCTTCTGTTCGCCAGCGTCATATTTTACGCTGAAAACTCCACCTTCACCAACATTCCCATCGGATTCTGGTGGGCATTGGTTACTATGACAACAGTCGGGTACGGGGACAAAGTTCCCAGAACAGAAGCCGGGTACCTCATAGGTTCCCTGTGCGTCCTGTGCGGGGTTCTGACCGTGGCGTTTACCGTCCCGATCGTGGTCAACAACTTCACCCTGTACTACTCCCACGCACAGTCCCGGGTCAAGCTCCCGCCCCCCAAGCGCGAGGAGCTGCAGAAGAAGCTGATCATGAAAAACCACAAGGCGCAGGAGTTCATCCAAAAACTGACGCAGAACGTGAAGAAGACGAAAACGTTCAACTCGCTACACACCCCGCGCGAGGCGGAAACGAGAGACGATAACCCGTCCATTGATTCCGGGCTGGAAGAGTGCGTTTCCCCTGCCGACCACGAACACCGGAAGCTGGAATCGATGGAGTCGACGTCGACCATGTGCTCGACCTTATCGGAGAGGCCGAGCGTCAAAGACAGCCCCGTCCACCACGGCGGCTCCACCGTCCGCACGGTATCCGCCAGCATAGCGGAACTGGAGCTTGAGATTCCTGGCACCCCGCATGATATCGAGACGGTAATGTTTTGATTGCTCTGATCGATTAGATGTTACCTAATGAAGATATCGTGATCATTTTTTTGTAAACTGCCTTGCGTGTCATTTTTTTTTAAACGTTATCAGTAGAGCGAAGCTTTCCGGTTGTTTGAAAACAAAACCTTAATAGTTGACAGCTGCAGCCGTCCATATGTACACACTAGTGATAGCCCACACCTTCTAGCGGCCCACATATAACACAATCTTGATAGCCCACAGTCTGTTGTTGCCCACATATAATACAATCTTTATAGCCCACAACGTCTAGCGGCCCACATAAAACACAATCTTGATAAGCCACTGCCTGTTGTGGTCCACGTACCCTATTGTGATAGTCCAATGCATCTAGAGGCCCACATACACAAGCTTGATAGCTCAAAGCGTCTAGCGGCTCACATGCACTATTGTGATAGCCCACAGCATGTAATGTCCCACATATACACATGTGTGATAGCCCACAGCGTGAATTGGCCACACATAACACAATCTTGATAGCCCACAGCCAGCAGTGGTCCGCATAACACTGTACTTATAACGTAACTGACATTTATTTTCTGGTTTACAGATAACAGTTGTAAAAATACAACGTCGCAATCTGTTTTCACAAACTGAACAACATAATTTATTTGTAAACAGTAGTTGCAGCTACAGATTAACTGCAAAGTTTTAATTGGTTGGTATACTTGAAGGAGACAGTAAAGTCTTAAACTTTTTATGAGTGACTGTCTCTATAGGTCCAGTAGGATGGAGACAGTAACGTCTTACATTTTTGACGTCTCATGTCTCCCCATAGGTCCAGTAGGATGTAGACAGTAACGTCTTACATTTTTGACGTGTCTCCCCACAGGTCCAGTAGGATGGAGACAGTAACGTCTTACATTTTTGACGTCTCATGTCTCCCCACAGGTCTAGTAGTATGGAGACAGTAACGTCTTACATTTTTGACGTGTCTCACCACAGGTCCAGTAGGATGAAGACAGTAACGTCTTACATTTTTGACGTGTCTCACCACAGGTCCAGTAGGATGAAGACAGTAACGTCTTACATTTTTGACGTGTTTCCCCACAGGTCCAGTAGGATGAAGACAGTAACGTCTTACATTTTTGACGTGTCTCCCCACAGGTCCAGTAGGATGAAGACAGTAACGTCTTACATTTTTGACGTCTCTCCCCACAGGTCCAGTCCCTCAGGATGGAGACAGTAACGTCTTACATTTTTGACGTGTCTTCCCACAGGTCCAGTCCCGCAGGATGGAGACCGTCCAGCTGCTGACCGCCCTAGAGGACCGTGACGAGAGACTCTCCCAGGAGAGACGCCGACAGCTGGAGAGAATGACGAGCCTGATCGAGCAGAAGAAACAGGCCAGACAGAGCCCACGCGTGGCGCCCTCCCCCGGGGGAACCAGCCGACTCACGGTCAACCAGACGATTAAGGTGGAGCCGAACAAAGTGATCACCCAGCCCACAACCAACACCATCACTGTCCGACCAGCCGCCTCCTTGTTTAAGCAACTCGCGGCTAAACGTCTTGACCGATGAGATCTTTGTGATCAACTTTTGAACTAGATTTAAACTTCAATTAACTTGACCAATGACATATCTTTGTGTAAATTTGTTGATCTAGATTTAAACTTCAATTAACTGGACCAATGATACATCTTTGTGAAAATGTGTTGATCTATATTTAAACTACAAATCCTTTATCAACTCATTCTGTCTAGGGTTTTGTTATGAACTGTTGAAATGTTGGCATATTCCTTTCACCCGTTATATGTAAATATCACATACCCGAGCCATTATTTGATGTAACTCAACATCCATCCTTTCAAATATGTTTGCTAGAAGCAACTCAGCAGCCACACATTTGTTGTGCTTGCAGAAGCTCAGCATACATCCAATCATCGTGTTTGCGTGTAGAAACACAACATACATTCCATCACAGTGTTTGCGTTTTGAAGCACAACATACATTCCATCATAGTGCTTGCGTGTAAAAGCATAATGCATCTCTGCATACGCCACATTCCTCAATATTTAAACACAAGAGCTTACATAATTTGGTATCGCCTTTGAAGCAGCGTTGCGTTGATTCTTTTACTAAAGTATCAAAAGAGCAAAAAAAAAAAAATTAAAAGCAGTCCGTATTGAAATCTTAATTAAACCAGAAATTTGTTTCATGTTAATTGCTTTGTAAAAATAAATAATGATTTTTTTTTACAGTTAACAAAAATACCGATTTAATTTTGAAGATTTTTCAAATTTAATTACACATCAGTAAAACAATTACAGCTTAACCCAAATAAATCTGTAAAAGTTACACACCCAATTTATTTGACGCCTTGAACAAATTAATTCTGTTGAAGTGTTGATTTTCAATAATTTTTTTTTAAAAACACCTTTGCAATATATTGCCTCTGTGCGAAAATCCATGCAAGCTTTATGCATCGTGTTTAAAATAATATTCCTCTAAAAGTTTTATGCATATTGTTTAAAATTATATTCTTGTGAAAGGTTTACACTATCTGGGCTATTTTGATAGCTTGTTTGTAATTATATTCTTGTAAAATATTTTGGCTATTTTGTTTGTTTAAAATTATATTCTTCTAAAAGTTTAATAATATTTGGGCTATTTTGTTTGCTTGTTTGAAATTATATTCTTTTAAAAGTTTAATAATATTTGGGCTATTTTGTTTTCTTGTTTAAAATATGCAACTAACTACTGCGTTATATGTATTCTACTGCTCTGTTTGTATTTAATATTTTGAATTATATTTGTCCTAACTCTTTTTGTACAACACTATCAAAGTTTTTATAGTTTTGTTCTAAAGATTCAACTCAACAATAGATGTTCTAAAAACTTTGTTCTTAATTCCCATCTCAACAATAGATGTTCTAGGAACTTTGTTCTTAGAAGGACTGTAAATATTTCTCTTATTCGTGGCTGTATGTCACCTCGGCCAATCCCAACAATGCAAATATAACTGTCTCCGCCATTAAACACTGGAACGTTTGCTAAGTCCGGGACGATGAAATCAACTACACGAACTTATAAATACAAATACTAATGTTTAGTATGATGGCAAGGGGTAATGGACCGTCAACTATCAAAATTATAGGTAACACTAGCTTCTGCTATCACGTTTTCTTCAATTGGGTAACCTTCATTCCTGTTCAAAAGCCGCTCTTTGTAATTTGATATTGCACTTTATTGATTATATTTATTACGTCACTCCAGCCGCTTTAGTTGTAATCAAAGCCACAGGTTTAGTTTCTATTGAATCAATAGCCGATGTGTTATTGAATGGGGATGATCAAAAATCGATTTTTTATAGCTTGTAAATGTTGAATGGGCAGCTGAATGTATCGATACTATAATCGTGAATTGACAGCTAAGTTAAGACTTGCGCTAAATCGTTTAACTAATGGCTAATGTTTCTTAGGACTTTGTATACTAACATGCTATGTTTTGTTACGATCAAAGGGTTAGATTAACTTTCATGTGTATTAACAGAAGTGGATGATTCGCTTAGAACAGTTAGGCTTGGGTTGATATAGGTTAGTTAGGTTAAGGTTATCTGTTCTAGTTAAAGTTACCTGTTCGTTGGTTAAGTTATCTGTGTATTAGTTAAGATTATCTTTTCGTTGGTTAAGGTTATATGTTCGTTGGTTAAGTTATCTGTGTATAAGTTAAGATTATCTTTTCGTTGGTTAAGGTTATATGTTCGTTGGTTAAGTTATCTGTGTATTAGTTAAGATTATCTTTTCGTTGGTTAAGGTTATATGTTCGTTGGTTAAGTTATCTGTGTATAAGTTAAGATTATCTTTTCGTTGGTTAAGGTTATATGTTCGTTGGTTAAGTTATCTGTGTATTAGTTAAGATTATCTTTTCGTTGGTTAAGGTTATATGTTCGTTGGTTAAGTTATCTGTGTATTAGTTAAGATTATCTTTTCGTTGGTTAAGGTTATATGTTTGTTGGTTAAGTTATCTGTGTATTAGTTAAGATTATCTTTTCGTGGTTAAGGTTATATGTTCGTTGGTTAAGTTATCTGTGTTTTAGTTAAGATTATCTTTTCGTTGGTGGTTATATGTTCGTTGGTTAAGGTAGAAAGATAATTCTCTAGCGGTTAAATCGGTTAGTTTTAGAGTCAAGATAGGCTAAACCTGGGTTCAGATAGGTCAAGCTAGGGTTCGGTTTAGTTTGGGCTTAAGTAGGGTTTCGGTAGGGTCTAGTTAGGGTTTTGTTGGGGCACACGAAAATAGTATTTTACTTCTTGTACACATGATCAGTCTACTTGATGCTGTACACACTCGAATCTATAACTTTTTTTATTAATCAGTTGTGTTTTTGTTATGCTTCGTGACGTGATCATGTGACCAGGACATCTCAAGTCACGTGGTGTATCTAATGTGTTCTGTTATGAAAATGTTTCTGACACTCCTGCCAAACTTGTTGACACTTGTCTTTGTTTTCCATCTTACATAAATAAACTTATTCATACAATTGTGCTGGGATTTATTTTTCCTGTGTTGTTTTTTTTTTCAATATATTTTTTTTTCTTAATATGCATACAGTCTACATTAGTGCGCACAGTTTATATTTTTTGCAAATGTAAGAAAAAAAAAACAACTAAGGTGGTTTATAGGGAGGCAATCGTGAAATATAAATAAAGGAAAAATCTTTACAGTTGCGTCCCTTAGGAAGAAAAAAAAATAACGTCCGTTGAACGACAAATTGTGATCTTACTTTTGGGGGAGTGGGGTGCTTGTTTGATATGGAAGTCCGTCCCTGCTTCCGTGGTAAAATTATTAGACTTAATAAAGAGAGGGTGGGGAAAGTAAATGAAGGGGGGGGGGTGTAAACATGAACATTGTGTTAATCTAAATCTACTTACCCATAGTTATAGAAAAAACAATGGATACGAATAAACAGTACTTGCGTTCATATAGTGTTGCAGAGCTTTTAAATATATATATTTACAGTATGTAAGAGCCAGCCTAAATAGTAGATACCGTCTTTTATATAACACAAATATCACTTATTTATTTATTAGTTGTTATTTAACTTACAAAAAGCTGCCAATTATGAATTACTACGTAATGTTGTTTCTCAGGGAACTTAATTTTAAAAATAAACATATAAGATTTTTTTTATTTGTTTGTTTTTCAAGTAAATGGGTGTATGCTTTTTTTTTTTTTAGACCTAGGCTGGAGTTAAAGGGAAATAACTGATTGAATTCTTGCGTCCTTCAATTGTAATTGTTTACCCAGAGATGGTATGGGAAGTAACTGGCATTGTAAAGAAGTTTTGTAAAAATAGTTCCAACGCACGGTGCAAAGAACTTAGCTGTCTAGCTGGCAACTAATTGACATGAGATTTGAAATTATATTTTGTTAAGGCATTCTTTAATTTAGAAAATGATTTTAAAAAACTAAACAATTTTAATTATAAGCATGTACATGAATAATAACAAGTTGGCAGAGAAGTAAAAGAATTTCAGAAAAGAAAATCTGAAAAATTTGCTGTGCGCGTAAAAACGTTTTCAAGATAAAAAGTAAATGGAGACAAATATGTGCAAATTAGACAACTAGGTTAAACAATTTTGACAAAATGCTTTGATGCATGCATTTTAATTTAAACATGAAGTGTGCGGTGGATTGCTTCAAAATATTGCAGTTCATTAACTCTTTGTTAACAGGTTAATGTATTTTAATTATAATTCAATGTATATCTTGTAGAATGAAAGTGCTGCAAGGGCTATTGTTTTTCCAAAAAATGAGATATCTCTCTCTCTCTCTCTCTCTCTCTCTCTCTCTCTCTCTCTCTCTCTCTCTCATTTTATACATTCATTTCCGATGTTCGTCTTCCGGAGTGGAGTCATCAGCTGATCCCTTTAATCCAGCCAGCGGGTACCCAGGTGTTATGTGTAGATTTACACAAACCACTGCTTCAAGCGATATGTTTTAACACTGCTTTAGACTACAGTGACTAGCGCATTGGTTTAGTGGGGTTTGCAGTCTCGCACTCTACATCTAGACCACGCCGCCCCATTCTTAATTGAGGGTCACTTGCACATAATGTACTAGATAACAGTACAACCCTGGAGTCTTCGCGAAGAAAAATATTCTGATTAATTATATACGCTTGAGGTTGTTTTTTTTATTACACTCTCTATTATCGACAAAACAAGACATTTAGACCATCTTTGTATACAACTGTATCCAATCAATGCACAATCTTTAAAAAACAGTTAAAAAGCACAGCAATACATTTATCGGGCTAAAAATAGAAAGGTATTTCACAAGTACAGTAATTCATTCCTCTATTATTTAACCCCATAATGGCCTTACATCCGTGTTTGTGTACGTACCTAGATCTACAACAATAACCTCACAACTGAGAGAGAAAATTGGAAGAATAAAATTACATTGTGTAAAGATAAAACTTAACAACGATGTCGACCTTTGACAGACTTTTGACAGACATCATGACAGACATCTTGGCAGACATCTCGACGCCCTGGCTATCTTGCGTGATGTTCTACTTCAGTTCGTCCTGTTTTACTGTACTCAGTTCGGGTTAGTTCGGTTGTGTTCGACCCATTTGTTTAAAGGAATAAGCATCAGAGCAAATATTGGCCGAATTATTATGTTTATATTAGGGGGTCATCCTTTTGTGACGTCCACGTGGGGGAGGGGGACACCAAAAATAAAAAGTTAGTCGAATTGTTTTTTCACCATTATCGAGATTCTACCTATCATCTAACAAGCCGCTATATGAATTGTGAACAGTGCAAGGCACATACACAATAAGCATACAGTTAGTATGGTTGCGAGGTCTGTTACATTTCTGTCAACAATATAAGGGGAAGTAACTCCAATAGTTACAGATAGAGAGAAAGAGATAGAAAGAGAGATAAATAGAGAGAGAGAGAGAGTGAGAGAGAGAGGAAGCGGGTTCTTAAATCTCAAAGAATAATTTAATAAAAACATATTTTTAAATTATTGAACGCAAGAAGGCAAGTTAACTGGATGAGATTCCATGT